TTCTTTTACAGTTCAGTGACTCTATATTATACTAGGTCTTCAAAACATTCCAGCAAAAGGATTGGGAATTCCATAAAGCATTGCAAACTTAAATTTTCTAGATATTTTAGTGTTTCCTATACCATTATGTTATAAAAGCCTTGACTGACATGATGATTGGTATAGGTCATAAGTTCCCAAGCTTATTTGGCCTACCACCATCCTTTCAAAAATCAAAAACAAAACCAAAGCCTCAGCTACCCCCTGTCACCCATATCCAAGATAGAATGTATGTTTCGGCATTGGCAACCCCCTACTGTAGTTTATCTGGTCAAAACGTCCTAATTCTGTCAATGCAGAATACAGCCAACTCTCTTCTTTATCGGGTGAGTCTAGTGCCCACAAACCCTACTGGTGGCTCCTGGTACCCTAAATTACATCCCTCACGCCACAGATATAATGCTTTGAAAGCATCAATGCTCTTAACATGTGTGTATTAGCAGGGATAATGTTTCAGAATTAATAGTAATTGTAGGTATTTTTCTGTCCAGGTCCTCATTCTGAAAATGAAGAAATAGATCCTAAATTCACATGGGGGTAATATCTCAGTGGAAGTCTTAACACTTTCCTCTCTACACCCTGCCAGAGGCTACATGTGAAATATAATATTTTTTCTTAATAAAAATGTAGCAAGCAGAAATGCAAAATGCACAGTATGTTTTTCTCTGTTGATCTTTGGGGTCTGTATAAAGCCAGAGACTAAGATGTTTTGTTATTTGAAACATGTATTTTAACTATGAATGCATAGTGATGAAATACAATGCAACCAGGTGATAATTGGAGCTGTTTTAAATGTTAGCCAATGAAAACAAATATATACCCTCATTGACATTAAATGAGACATCTTTCTTTGTTTGTTAAAGTGTGTATCTTCATCAACCCCTAACTTGGAAAACTTAAAATTTTTCAATTCTGTTTTTTTTTTCTCCAGCTACATGTGGTCATTTGAAAAAGCTCACCTCAGCATGGTCCAGCTAATCACAGGACAACTGGTTGAGTCCTTTGATGAAGAATTTAGAACCCTCTATGCCAGATCCTGTGTCCCCAGTTCATTTGCTCAGGAAGAGTCGTCGCGGGAGAAACACGGCACACCTCTCTGGAAGAATGGCAGCTATCACCGTTCAATGTCTTCGTTAGCTTCCATTTCCAGCCAAAGAAACCTTTTTGGTAGACATGACCATATGCACAAACTCGATTCCAGTTACTTCAAAAACAGAGTGATGTATACTCTAAATGAACATGACAAGTATAGCATGCGGAATCAGGGATACAAACCTCATTTTGTTCCAAATTTTAATGGGCCAAATACAACCCGTCAGTGTCAACCCAGTCAGTTAAATGAAAATTGGAAAAGACATAGTTATGCTGGGGAGCAGCCAGAAACAGCGCCCTACCTTCTGCTTAACAGGGCTATGAATCGAACCAATAACCTGCCCGGTAATTGGAAAAGGCCTTCAGATAGTCTCAGTGTGGCGTCATCATCACGAGGAGGCTATGCAAGTCACCATAACACACCTGCCCAGAGCTTTGCTGATCGGCTTGCCCAGAGAAAAACCACAAATCTTGCAGAGAGGAATTCAAATGTCCGCAGGTCTTTTAATGGGACAGATAATCATATTCGCTTTTTGCAACAACGCATGCCAACCCTTGAACACACCACAAAGTCGTTCCTTCGTAACTGGAGAATTGAATCTTACTTAAATGATAATTCAGAGACTACGCCTGATTCAAATGGATCGACCCTGGGTGAACGTTTTGAGGGCTATGATGGTTCTGATCACGTGAAGGCTAATGCCCTGTATACTCATTCTCGGCTTCGTTCATCTTTTGTGCTTAAGCCAACTTTACCTGAGCAGGAGGAAGTTAACAGTTGTGCAACTGGATCTTCTAATTCAACAATCATTGGTTCGCAGGGGAGTGACACACCCAAACACGTCCCAGAGACCCCTACCAGTGTGGAGCATTCGACAGACAACCCCCCGTCAGACTCAGCCCCCCAGCTCCCAGTGCACCCAGACACCCCAAAAATGCACACACTGCAAGTTCCTGAGAGCCACTCCCCCGTGTTAAACCGTACTACCAATGGCCATTCAGAGTCTAACACCTATATATACAACACCTTGTGTTCAAATAAGCCCACAGAAAATCTAAAGGGCCAACAAAACGAGAACCTGCTGAAAAGGCGAAGTTTCCCGTTCTTTGACCACTCCAAAGGCAATTTAGATCCTGGAAATAATAAGCACTACGTATATAGCACACTGACGAGGAATCGAGTTAGACAACCAGAGAAACCCAAAGAGGATTTACTGAAAAGTTCCAAAAGCATGCACAATGTGACCCGGAGCACAGAGGACGAAGAGGGTCTCCCGAAAGAGCCTCCGAGTGGCCCCGCCACCAAGTCCGTGTCTGTTGCGGCTCTGCATGATGTGAATAAAGAGGAAGCCGCCAAAGACCTCGCTCCAAAGAAGGACGTTAAGGGTTCCCCAAGTTTTTTGAAAAAGGGATCTCAGAAGTTAAGGTCATTACTTAGTCTTACCCCAGAAAAGAAGGAAAATCTATCCAAAAATAAAGCACCTGCCTTTTACAGAATGTGTAGTAGTTCTGATACTTTAGTTTCCGAAAGTGAAGAGAAGCAAAAACCCAAAAAATCTGAGACGAAAGTTGATTCGTCACCTAGAAGAAAGCGTTCTTCCTCGTCAACCTCTCAAGGAAGCCTTCACAAGAGTAAGGAAGATGTAACACTTGGTTCATCTCAGGGGACACATTCTCCATCAGATGAAAGTAAGAAAATGATGCCTTCGCCAGGGCCAGTGAAAAACAAGTTCTTAGAAAGCTCAGGAGATGCCTCTGCCCCAAGATTTAACACCGAACAGATCCAGTACCGGGATTCAAGGGAGGCAACTGCTGCTCTAGAAAGAAGACCAGCCGCTTCTCCAAGGCCGCAGCCCAGCGAGCTCCTCCGATCGCAGTCAACTGACCGGCGCATTTACAGTCGTTTTGAGCCATTTTGTAAGATCGAGAGCTCTATTCAGCCAATGAGCAACTTGTCAAACAGCAGCGTGCACCGCCCAGAAATAAAACCCACTACTATGGGCAATAGTTATGGCAGGTCCAGCCCTCTGCTTAATTACAACACTGGTGTATATCGCTCTTATCAACCAAATGAAAACAAGTTTCGAGGATTTATGCAAAAATTTGGGAATTTCATACACAAAAATAAATGAAATACCGTCATTTTAAATGATTATTAAAATACCAGATTAATTCAGTTGTAAATATTTATCCAAAGAGCACCCTGGACATTGTTTGTTTTTTTGTAATGTGCCAATAAACTTCTGTAATGGCAGAATTTATCTATATAGTAAAAGTGTTACCGTTCTGTGTGATGAATTAGCTGTGTGTAATTGCACTACATAGCATTTCTGTCTGAGCTCATGAGTTTTCAATGGTAATGGTAAAACGAAACAAAGCAAATGTCAAACTGTTTTCTTCAAACTGAAGATCTTAGGTCTTAGTAGGAACTGTAGTGGAGAAACGGTCTGTGGATTTTAACCATTCAGTCCAAATTCTTCTCGGTTTAGAAAAAGTATCGTCATAGCTTTAGTGGTCTTTCATGTTTTTATGGTGTTTCCTTTCTTCAAATGTATAAGAAAATAGGGGGACATTTTAAAAATGTTTTTTAACTTTGAATTCTACAAAAAAGTGTTATATTTTATTAGCATTATATTAATATCCTATGGAGTACAAGCTGGTTAGGTAACAAAGGTACAATTTAAACAAAATAGCTCAGCATTTTCTCTCCCCTTAAATGTTGACAAAGTACCGGCCTCATGTGCTACGAGTGCATCACAGAAGGGCGGTTCCCTGATTGTTGTAGAGTTATCTGCCACAGAATTCTGCCCACTCTCAATCCAGATACCCTGCGCGGCAACTGCTTGTTGGCTGTTGAACTTTTACAGTCATCCCATACTCCGAATGTAGAGCAAGCCAACAGGATTTTGGAAAACCAGACAGAAAACCAGTCCGCTCCTGGAAAGATTATAACCAAGCAAACCCTATGGTTCAGTCTTACTCTGTCACATAGGACTGCTGTGAATTAAGGCCAACGTAACAGCATTAACAACAGCAAAGTTTCTCTAGAGGGCAGACTATTATTTTATTTTATTAAATCATTTTATTAGGGGCTCATACAACTCTTATCACAATCCATACTCACATCACTATCTATGTAATTTAAATAATGGTATTTATTTAAATACCATATATGGTATTTAAATTACATATATGAATTAAAATGATTTTCCATAGTATGGCAACATTCATTATAATTGAAAACATGACCGTCTGGAAAAGAAAAGGTAGCATTTATTGAGCACAAGTGAGATAGATGTTGGGATGCTCACCACAAGGTCAACAGTTCAAAACCACCAACCCCTCTAAAGCAGAAAGACGGGGCTTTCGACCCCCATAAAGAGTGACAGTCTTGGAAATCCACAGGGGCAGTTCTGATCTGCCCAGTGGTGTCATGATGAGTCAGACAGGGTGAGAGACAGTATAATAGAAGAGGCAGGAAGCAGCCATCTTACTGTCGAGTCAGTGTTGACTCATAGTAATTCTGTAGATAGTAGTAGTTAAGATGGTAATTGAAACTCAAAGAGGTTATATCCCCCAAACACACAAACTAACAAGTAATGACACCAAAGTGTAATATTCTGTGTCCTCACATTACCTCCCAAATGGCTCAATTCCTGCCATGCTGTGTCAGGTGAGGATTAAGTGAGAGAAGGTTTACATTTCTTCACCGAACAGCAATCCGATGGAAAATACATAATTAAATGTTACAAGATCCACGACAGACAAGGGTTAAATTCATTTTAGTATGTGATATTAGGGAATAAAGTGGGATTCGTTTGGGATGTAACTAGAAAAGAGTAAGTTCTTAGGCAGCCATATTTGCCTTCTTGCTACTGACCTGTGGGGGGGGGGGGGAAGAAACAGCAATGAGTTGTAACCTGCTTGCTTTCTGGGCTTGTGTAACGGAGCAAGGGCTCCACTAGGTCAGGAAGCTTGGGGTGGGGCTGGGGGTCTCTGAAAGCTAAGTATGTTATCTCATTAAATATTCTTAAAACCCTGTAAGGTAAGTACCTAAGTACCTATATTTTGCAAAGAAGAAAACAGAATCTCAGAGATTTTACTGGCTGATATTTTAGAAGTAGTGTGTTAGACTTTCCTTCCTTGCTTGTCAGTTTGGAAACTTCACGAAAGTTTGTTCAGCATCATTTCCACACACAACCCTCTACTGATAAACCAGTGGTGGCTGTATTTGAGGCTCATTGGTTGGGAATTGAACCTGGCTCTTGTGCTTGAAAGGTGAGAATTCTATAGCACCACTACCCTCTAGTTATAGATTAGCACTGGCCTATTTTAAAAAGTACTAGAATTGGGGATTGGTGACTGGAAGGGATTATTCATTTTGATCAGATCGCAGTTCACTTCTGTAATTCTGCACCATAATTCTTAGCAAAATTCTGAGCCTATAGTTAACCACAGTAGATTCCCTTTACTAGTACCAATTGTTTGTTATTGGTGAGGCATCATCTGCAGTTATGGGAGTAATGGATGAACTGTCATCAGATGTTTCTAAAGTTGAGAGACTGAAATTTTAGAGCAATGTAACACTAAAACTGAAATTTGATTTTAAAAAACAGCTTTAATCATGTTTAATTATAAGAAATACCCTGTTGTCATTTTGGTTAGCAAATCTGGAAAATACTTCCTGAACTCACCCCCCCACCCCCCTCTTAAGAAGTGAATTGGGGAGAAAGAAAAATGTTTTCTTTCATCCACCTATTACAGGTAGCTGAGACTTGTGCACAGATTCTTTCTCAGCCTTTTTCTTCCCCTTTGTGTTCCATTCTTGATTCCTTCAGAAATACTTGCAACAACAACAGCAACAAAATAATAACTCCCAAACACTCCTAAAGCCAGGAAACCCCATTGCGTTGGGATTTTTAAAGTTCATGTTTTGTGTTTTTTAAAATCTACTTAGGTTTTTAATTGACAGTCCTATGCATCTTGGCTGTTCTAGTTTTAAGCAATAAACTTCTCTTGGTTTTCTCCCCATGTTAATATTGTTTGAAATGCATTGTGTCACATGTATTTTAATATTAACGTTTAATAAAGTAATTTTTACTTTTAAGTCATACATTAGATTATAAGCAGAAACTCAAGAAATGTGTGCAATGTTTCAAGTAGTTCTTGGGAATTGGCCTCAGAAGATGGTATCCCTCTATGTAAACATCAGGATGAGGCAATTCTGATGTTATATGCTGAGGTGCAGATATTTGTTGAGAGTCTCAGTTGTGGAAGCAAATGCCTAGTTTACGGGAGATGATGTCTAATGTCAACATATAAGTCTAATGTCAAAGAATAATGAACTTTAACTGTGTTCAGCCTTAAGCAAGATCTGCCCAAGTATTTAACAATTCTACAGATAGCAATCTTCTGAGAATATCTGTAGCTTCTTAATATGCATATGGCTAGATGATATAAAATTATTTCACATTATGTATGATGTTCAAAGAACAAAAACTTTTATCACAAAATCATTTGGTTCTAGGACGTTTAAAATAAAATAAGTGAAATGATAAAACAAAAAACTCAATTTTTATATACTTGGAATGTGAGCAAAGAAATATTCTTCCAAACTTAACAAAAATTCAGAATTTGTATTTAGATCAATAAATATTACATAATTTTGTACAAATATATTGTGTTGGTTTTTTATCTTCAAGTTCCATAATTCATGACAAAAACTCATTGTCTCACTAGGTATTATAATAAGGAACTCAGATGCTTATGCATTTTAAAATAATTCTACGTGAGTTATAAAATAATCTCTAAATTATGCTTAATTATAGTTTCATTGGAAGTTACGCTGTTGATAAAATACAGATTTTATTTAATGTGTACAGACATACCATATATATATATATATATATATATATATATATACTTTGTATATGCTGTATACACTTAATGTATACAGGCATAACATACCATAATAGTATTTTTGTAATAATATACACTTTCTATTTTAAGAAATATAGTAATTTAACTTGTGTCTTCAAAAAAATGAGAAATCTATGGCTTTAAAAATGTGGTAGTTTTTGTGCGTGTTAGTGT